TGCAACGCTCCTTCCTCCTGGGTATGGGGTCAGGCTCCTCTGGAATGAGGGACTTATCACCTGTTGTCAAGCATGCTACCTTGAGAATTTCTTTACCACCTGCTCCAAGACAAAAAGGGCAGGGAATGGAGCAGTAGTATTTGTACATTTCGCATCTTGACTGGGAGGACAGGGGCTCCGGGTTTTGTAACCCACCTTGGGGTAGAGGAATTCTGGTTTCTGTGAGTCACTTTGGGGGGAAATGAGGGGCAAGAGACTGGAGGGCAGAAGATCGGAGAGAACTTGGCTCTGAGCCCTTTCAATGTCTTTTAGTTCGAAGTACTCAGCATACAAAAGTGGTACGCCTTGGGGTGTCCTCTTCTGAGCTCTAGCATAAGTATCACCACCAGAAAAAACATGGCGGCAATTCATAGGCCTGGAGATATCAAAATATTTAGTGTCTAGATATATAATTATTTAGACATCAATGGCCTCTGACAGGGAAAAATAGGTTAAATGCCATATATTAGTCTCCAAATCTTTTAGTTTATTGCCAAGCCCAACCTAAGCTTGTGTCATATGCTGGCTCTGCAGATATCTCCAACACGACCTATGGGTAACACAAGCTGCAGCTCTGGTGTATAGTGGGAAGGGAAGCCACTACCTGCACACAGCTTAGAAGATGGCTCCAGGAACAAGGCAAGGTTGGATTTTATTGTTTTACAAATAATTTTATTGCAAGTTTGGTTGAAGGTGGTCTTTCTGGGTGAGTGGGTGAAGATAATGATACAACAATGTAGGGTTGGTCGCATAGGTTTGGATATTTTATTTTAGTTGCTTCTGCTGAGTGAGATTGGATATGATCACCTGAGGACGCTACACGTGTGTGGACACTACTACTTTCTCACTGTTGAGTGCCCATTCTATGTCAGTGCCCGGGCCACGCCCACCCTGCGTACTTGGAGTGTGCCTCACTTCAGGAAGCACAGACGAACCTCACACCGTATAGAGCTGCAGAACTTCTTCTGAGACTGCTGAGGACGTATCATCAGGAATGGCACCCACTCCTCTGCTGGATTTTAGTATGTGGCAGAGCAAGGACAGACGACTCCTCGGAAATGGTGATGCCATCTGGCAGCTCCTTCTAGAAGTGGCTCACCAACTAAACATTACCGGGTTCCTCACTTGAGATGTTAGTGAGAATTGCCTCCTCAGTGTTCTATAGCCGTGACGAGGAGGAGGCCAAGGAGAGAAACCATTACCGGGTTTGGGGTGCTCATCTCTACCTCTGGAGTTAGATTCCGAGTTCTTCTCATCTTGAACAAGAACTGAACAAAAAGCTGTAGCAAAGTCTGTTCAAGAAAGTACAAATGAAGAGTAAGGGAGAAACTGGCTCTGCAGAGGGAGCTTCGGCCAAGTAAAACAAGGAGAAAAAGCAAGAAAAGGACACCTTGGAGAAAGCCCTGCGGGTGGCGGTGAAGAACGTATGGTAGCAAGTTCTTTTTGGCATCTGTACCTTTTATGCCATCCGGATCTCAAGGAAACCCCTGAGAACTTCTGCATACGGGTCCAGGGAGGCGGTGCTGGGATCCCAAGTCTCAGGCTGGCGTCAGGTCTACGCCATCCTGTGGAAAACCAGCTCGCGTTCTTGCGAGAAGTCCAGGTGTGGGGCTTTGAGAACTATTCTGCCAAGTGTTCTGGGATCTGTAATTAACAGGTCACACCTACTTCCCCGACAGTTTTACCGCCCTAATCTGCTATCTCAGCGAGGAAGGCTGCTTGTTTCCTGGGGACAGCGCCTTCTAGAAGTGGCAAATTCCTTGGTAATGACCATGGTGAGCAATGCTTTGCTGTGCCCTGCTTCTAACTGACTTAGGAGGTGGAAATGTTTTGAATGTGTTTATTTTACAAGTAGAAAATAAGAAATGTCACCAATCAAGTTTTATATTTTAGGAAAAAAGTGATAAATTTTGTTTCCACAAGTGCTCAGTGCAGAATGAACGGCAAGTTCAATCATAAAGTGGAACTGAGATCTTTGATAACAATAAAGGTATAGTTCATGAATTAAACAACATGGGTTAAAGAATAAAACCTCTACTTTAATCCTAATTTCTGAAATTGTGCAACCAATTCAGGCAATATTTTCTGAGATTTTTTTAAAAACCCTTTCCATTGGAGAGGTACGTTTATCTCCAGATTATTTGATTCTATTTGGAAAAGCCCCAGATTAATGGGACAGTGGTTTTGAAAGAAGCTGAATATCATTACCTTACCCTGTATTTAAACTGTTCTGTTAAAAGTTGATATAAATTGGGTGTGGTGACCCATGCCTATGATCTCAGCCACTACAAAGGGTGAAGCGGGAAGATCACAAGTTAGAGGCCATCCTGGGCAATTGAATGAGACCCTGTTTCAAAATGAAAGAAAAAGGACTGGGGGTGTAACTGAGTGGTAGAGTGTGAGAATACATGAAGTCTTGGGTTTGATCCCCAGCACCAGCCCCAAAATCAAAGTTCTTACAATTCCATTACAAAAGTTAAAAACAATCTAAGATCTTGGATAGTACAAGTTTAATATTAATGTTAATATCTAAACACTAGTTGAATGAAAGCAGGCCTATTTATTTATTTATTGTTTTTTTAAAGACAAAGTCTTGCTATGTAGTTCTGGCTGGCGTTGAATTCATTATGTAGTCTAGGCTAAACTAGAACTCCCAGTGATCCTCCTGCCTCAGCCTTCCAAGTGCTGTGACTGTAGATGTGTGCCATCACACCCTGCCAGGGTTAACTGTTTTAAATGGCAAGAAAACCTGCATTCATAAAAATCTGAAACCTAGACTATATTTTAAGGGAAAAAGGCAACATATTGCAAATGAAGATAGTTCAATAACATACACTTACTGAAGTCCATATCAGTTGCAGTATGAGCTGGGTGTGGTGGTGCACGCTTATAATCCCAGCCTTTGGGAGGTTGAGGCAGGAGAACTGCCTCAAGTTCAAGGCAAGTCTGGGCTACATAGTGAGTTCAAGGCCAGCCTGAACTGTACAGTGAGACCCTGGTTCAAAAAAAAAAAAAAGAAAAAGAAAACCCCACTGCAGTAAGATATTAGATCCTGGTGTTAGGTAAAAGTTCTTTGTTTTGGACTAAACTGTTAGGCCCAACAGAGCAGGCTAAGAACAAAAATGGACTCATGAACTCATGAACAAAATGGACTCATGGAGCAGACCAAAGTTCAACTTAATTGTTTATCTGACCTCAGAAATCAGGATTAGGTGATAAGAATCAAATTTCCAGAAGTAGTCAGTTTCAATTGATTTGATAATAAAGTTCCCTCTGCCTTAGTCTTTTCACACACACAAAAAATAATCTAAAGTAACTTGCTGTTAATTAATCAGTTATTTTCTCTCTTGTTTTGTCTTTCTCTTCTCCCCATACAGGGAAAGTGATTTTGGCGTTTGTTTGTTTGTTTATTTTTTAACTTTGAGATGGGGGTCTTGCTATGTTGCCCTCACTGGCCTTGAACTCATAATCCCCCCACCTCTGCCTCCTGAGTTGCTGTGATTACAGGCACATGCCGCCTGTCCTGGCTGCAAGCAAAGTAACTTTAGGATGACCAGTTTGCTTTTCGTTTTCTGCTTCTGCTTTCTCTTGTCACCAGTGTGCTCTGCTCAGCTCACTGGAACACTTACTGCTTCCTGGAATGAAGTGCTACTCAACTTTAGAATCATAAACAAGGCCAATTAAGAGCTTCAAATTTAGCTTCTGTTATTCTGTCCATTGATACTGGAAATCTAAATGGTAGTATGAACTGGTCCTTGTCCTTGAGCTCACTACCCAGAAGGGGAGACCACGATGAGAGCATAAGTCCAAATGCAGTGGGTGCTGTGATTGCAGAGGTGCAAATGCTGCCATCAATAGGACTCTAGAAGAGAGGATGCATTCATTATGTATCGCTTTGCAGTAGTGACCCACACACAATGGCTTTGGGAAATAAATATTTATCATCTCCCATAGTTTCAAAGGGGCAGAAAGCCTGGCGTGGCTTACCTGGGTAACTCCTGCCTCAGGGGCTCTCATGAGGCTGCTGTCACAGTGTTGGTCTTGGGTATAGTCACTGAAAGTTTGACAAGCCAAGGATCCACCTTCGTGGTAGCCCATTTGCATGGCTGTCGGCAGAAGGCCTCAGTTCATTGCTACAAGGGCATTATAAGCTTATATCTAGATGTCCCCCCAAAGCCTTTGTGGTCACAGATGAAACATTTTGGAGGTGGCTGGATCTAGAATGTGTCATGGTGGGATTAAGAATGTGATGCTGGGATTGATTCATGGTGTGATGCTAGAATTAAGGGTGCCCCACCCTGAGTGTGAATGATACTTGCCCTAAGGGTGGATAGCGTGGATAGAATATAAGGGACAGAAAGAGGGCTGCTGTTGTTGCTTGCTGCTCTACTGCCTTCCTGTCTTCTGCCCACCATCAACTGTTTTTCCTCTGCAGTCCCCCTCTGCCAAGCCACCCTGCCTTGGAACCAGCTGACTGTGGATTGAAGCATCTACAAACTATGAGCCAAAATAAACCTTTCCTCCTTTAACTTTAGGTACTGGGTATTCTGTCTCAGCAATGAGAAAAGTAACTAAGACAGAGGGCCTTTCCAAAAAGTTACAACATTGTGGCTAACTTGTCCCAGAGAGAGTGATGAGAGAGAGAGATAAAGAAAGAGGCATAACCCACAGGGGTGATGGTCCATTGATTACACAAGACAACCCCAATTCACTGTGGGAGAAGACCCCATGAGGCCAGGATCACGGATCTCAGAGTCTACCACAGATGTCACCTAAACCTAGGGAATGTGCTTTGATAAATTATTACACTAATATTTAACATGTTTTTTACTTAATTGATAATCAGAACTGGTACTTTTAACTGGAATACAAATGTCTGTATATGAAAGGAGAATGACAATAGTACTTAGTACTGACGCAGTATTTTTATTTGGCAGACAGTGCCAAAGCATGCTTATCATTTCACTGAGAGTGTAGGCAGTGTGGTGTTTAAACATCTGGACCCTACAGTTCCCAGGTGAGTTTTTTTTTTTTAATACTGGCAGGTTAAGGAAGATTACTTAAGTACTCTGTGTCTTGGTGTTCTGTCTGTAGCAAAGGGAATAGTATGTCCCTCATAGGATTGTTTCAAGGTAAGGCAAACTGAGCCACCAGCCTCCTACCTGTGGGAACACTGAGGTTCACATGCCCCCCTTTCCTTTCTCCTTTCCTCTCTCCCCCACCTCTTTCCTTCCTCCTTCTCTCCTCTCTTCCTCCTCCTTTTCTTTTTTCTTTCCACTGGAAAAGGTAAAGCACAGGCACTACTAAAACTGACGCAGTAGGAACCCTAGAAATCCTAGCATAGCGTTCAATGTCCTCCACTCCAGTGGGTCCTCCAGCTGTAGTTCATTGGTGGGTGCTTGCCATGTGCATGGCCCTGGGATGGATTCTGAGTCCCACAGAAAACCCAAACAAACACGAGTGGGTCCACTCCCAAGGCACCAGTTGGTGAGGCTGTGTCAAGTTGCTGTTATACTCTGCCATCATTACTTCTGGGAAAATAAAAATTATGTGGGGTTGGGGAGTGTCACTTATTGGTGGAGTGGTTGCCTGGAATGCACAAGGACCTGGCTCAGAGCCCTGTATTGGGAAAAAAAAGAAAAGGAAGTGAGTTGTATATTGTAATTTTTGGACTCATGAACTATTAGACAAATACAATAGTCCCCCCCTTATCCACAGAGGATACATTTTAAGATCCCCAGGGAATGTCCCAAACCAAATACAGTTCTGCACACTACATATTATTTATGTTTTTTCCCCTAAAAATGCATGCCTATAATAAAGTTCACTTTAGAAGTTAGGCATAGTAAGAGATTAACAACACAAATAATAAAATAGAATAATTATATCAATATACCACAATAAAAGTTATAATTATATCAATATACCACAATAAAAGTTATTTAAAATGTACAAACTATTTATTTCAGGAACTTTCCATACAATATTTTTGGACCAAGATTGACCATGAGTAACTGAAACTACAGAAAGTAAAACTGTAAACTGGGTTGGATGGGCTGGGAGTGGGGGTCAGTGAGTCTGGTTACTCCCTGCCTGGCCTGGATCTGCTTAATGGCTTGGAGCAATGCATACTTTATCCATGGGACACGAAGGCTGACCAGTAGGCCACCCCTGGGTGTCCCTCTGACCCCATGCCATAACCACTGAGGACATGCCCTCGTGACCCTCGCACCCTCTGAATCCCACCTGTTCTTCTATTTGGTTTAATGTGGCTGAGCTTGTGGTGGGAGCTCCCGTCCTCTTGACTTCTTTAGCATTGGTCAAAATGTCCTTGCAACCCCCACCACCAGCTCTCTCTATCTTTAGAAGAGAGAGGGCTTGGACGCCAATGCTGGAAGATTCTCAACCAGGTCATCTGCCCAGGCCTTTCCAGGTTACTGTGGGCCTGTGCCACAGTACTCCTGAGTCGCTGGTTGGCATTGTGAGAACAGATTCTCATGACTAAACAACTGAGAGCCTTAGAGAGGTTTATCTAATGCTGCACAGTGAGATAATGTATCTCTTCTTCTTGTGCAAAGTTTTAAAAAAATAAATAATAAGGACTTGGGATACCAATGAGAGGATGTATTAGTCAGAGTAGACTAGAGAAACAGACATAACACAAAATATGCAAATGTAGAAGAAATTACAAGATTGGCTTATGATGGTCAGCCACAGAGTTGGATGAGGAAGTGTGTGCGTCTGCAGGCTGAACTGCATGAAGAATTCAGTCCAGGGTCTGGAGCTCACTGCAGTGTCCATGCAAGTCAGTATCAGGAGTCCAATGAGTCTGTGATAGAAGGCTGCAGAATCTACACCGGAAGGCTGAAGCTGAACAATCTGAGCTAGAAGCCAGGAGATGATGTCTAAGCTGAAGGTGAAGACTGGAGCAGCAATCAATCCTTTCTCATTTCCCTTTTATTGTAAGCAGGTTACCTGCCCTGGGAGAGGGTCCTTTACACCCACACTATCTCCGTGCCCTCCTCTTGCACAGGCTGAAGATGTTTACAAAGTGAGGACCCTGGCTCCCTGCTGAGTCACTTAGTTTAATTTTTAAGCTTCTCAAGTTGATATAATGAACAACATCCTAGAGGGTTAAGGGCATGTCCTCTACACCCTAGGATGCAGAACTGCTGAATTACTTAGTTAAGCTTCTAGACTTCTCAAGTTGACACAATGTATCAGCCATTACAGAGGAGCTGTGTTTAGAATGATGCTTCTCCTCCTACTTTCCCTGCTTCTTTGGAAATGGCACTGTTAAGGCCTTATAAATACAAGCAGGCCTGACATAGTGAGAAATGTATGTTTCCTTGCTAGCCCCACCTCTGGCATATGCTTTTGGAGACCCTGGGAAGCCCAGAAAGGAGAAGTGTTTTTGGAGGCTAATGAGATGACTGATGCCTTGGATACCCCTAGAGTGGGGCTAGTTCCACCCTGACTTCTGACCTCTGACCTCTGGGAAAGGGGTAAGGCTGAAAGTTGAGCTAATAACCAGTCACCAATGATTTCACCAGTCCAGCCCTTGGTAGTGACACCACAGCCCCCATAAAGAACAGTTGTGGAGGGCTCCCTGGTTGTTGAACAATTAATCACCTGTATTTACCTTTCCATGAGAATGAGAGACTTCCCATAAGCAAGATAAAGAATGTTCTCACAGTTGGAGATTCCAGGCGTCCATGGCTGAGGGGGACTGGGGTCAGAGGTGGCAAGACAGAGCTGTGTTTTATATCTTCCAGTCCTCCCTTCCTTCATTGAGACCTCTTTGCAAATCTTTTCTCCTTAGAGAAACCTGCTTAAAATGAGGAATTAGGTATCCACCTTCTATCTGTCCAGGGGAAAATACATTTATTAAACTTGCCATTGAAAGAACACCACTAACCAATAGGCAAAATAATCTCCCTTTGTGTGCCACTTGGATCTATTTACTTTGTTTTTTTGAGACAGGGCCTTTCTATGTAGTCTAGGCTGCTTTTGGACTCACTATGTAGCTCCGGCTGGCCTCAAACTTGTAGTGATCCTCCTGCCTCCGCCTCCCAAGTGCTGGGATTACAGGCGTATGCCACCACTCCCAGCTGGATCTAACTGTTCACTTAGTTATTTATTCAGAGTGGTGCTGGGCATTGAACTCAGGGCCTTGTGCATGTGAGGGAAGTACTTTATCACTGAGCTACATCCTCAGCTCCTTCACTTCTGACTCTTTTAGGTGGCATTGGAGAACAACATAAATACTGGTCAGATTTTAATTTTTGATGAAGGGAGCATGGCTTCTCAAGCATTCTGCAGCTAGGAATCATACAGTATTTGATGATCAGAAACCCTGGAAGTCAACTTTTTTTTTTTTTTTTGCCCAAGGTGCAGGTAATGTTACCAATTTGCTGAGGTTCTTTTGCTCAATTTAGATAGAAATCACAAACTGGCAAATTGCAGCTCCCTCAGCATCAGCCAGTCTGAGCTTTGAATGCCTGCAGCTCTGGGCTCTGGATGTTAGCTTCCCTGAGCCCGAGTGCTGCTGGCTCTTAGTTCCCAGTGCTAGCAGCTCTCCTCCCTGCAGTCCTAGCAGCCGGAGCCAGCAGCCTCTGTAGCTCTCCCTTGCTCTCTCTCTGCTCTAGCAGCCCTCAGTGCTATCAGCTTTAGCTGCTGGCTGCTTCAGTACCAGCAGCCTCGGTGTTGCCAACTCTTACTGCAACTGCTCAGCCTGCTGTACTCAAGATGGAAATCATGGACAGGCAAAATAAATCCACCTGGAAAAGGCTTTGTTAGGATTTAAGCTGCAGTGTAGGGCCAAGCAGTATATAACCCGCTCTGATAAGAGTGTTAGGAACGTTGCTTATGTAGGCAGAAAGGGCAGATTCATCACGTGAAGCGTCCTGCTGGTTAACTGCACATCTTCTGCTATCATCCCAGCCGCAAGGGCATATGGGGTCTGCCTTCCCTGGCAATTGTGGGCAGGGTGGCAACCTGGACACTGAAGCACTTGTAGAGGGGTAGAGTCATCTGGAGAGGCTGCAGCACATGCAGAACTCTTCAGGAGAATCGGTCCTCCTCGTCTGTGTCCATGGGGAAAGAAGCGTGGCATAAAGCTGAAGAAGTGAGTGGTGCACACCTATAATCCCAGCACTTGGGAGGGAGGCTGAGGCAAGAGGATTGCTGTGAATTCAAGGGAGGCCTGGGCTATCTAGGGAGACTCTGTCTCAAAATCCCCAAATAAGAAAAATAAGTGAATGAATAAATAAATAAATAATAAACTTGAAGAAGTAAAACTGAGGAAAAATAAAAGCAAGTGGTAAGGAGGAAAATGTTCTTATATTTTCCCCTTCTGGGACTGACAAGAAAAGTTGATCTGAGAATGCCATCAGAAGGCAGTAACGCTCTCTGGCAAGGTGTTGTCGCGGGCTGGTTCATCTCCCACATACCACATCCCTGTGGTAATCGCCAAGTTGTGCTGTCCGAGGCCCTGGGAAGGTGACTGTTAGAACATAACCTTCCTGGAACTTCCAGATCATGCCAGTTAGAGCGCTCTGTGCGGGTGGTTGACAGGCTGCTGCTTAGCTGGGTGCAGTGGCACAGGCTTGTGACCCCAGCACCGAGAGAGGTTGAGACAGGAGGATTGAAAGTTTGAATCCCGCCTGGGCAACCTAGTGAGACCATCTATTAAGTAAAAATTAAAGAGGCTGGAGATACAGCTTAGTACAAAGGCCTTAGATTCAATCCTCAGGAGGGTGGGTGGTGAACAGACAGTATCTAAGAAATGCCCGCACAATCCATCTCAGTTACATCAAGGTAGAGAGAATTCTGGGTGGGGCCCCTGCATATGTTCATATTAGGTGACAGACTGTCCTGCAGGGCTCATAGTGCAGGCAGCATTGCATCCATTATTATTTTTACCTGTTTACTCACATTTTAGTTGTGGACATCTGCCCCAAATTGTCTCATGTCAAAACTGGGACTCAAACTGATTTCCTCCAACTCCTACTGAGCTGTAAGCTCAGATTTCAGTGTTAAATTGTTGCTTATTTTTAGCAGGGAACATGGGTGCACAAACAAATAAGCAAGACAATAAACCATAATACTTAGCATGAATGCAACGAGCAGTACAACAGAGGAGCATGTAGATGGTGTTAGCAACTCAGAGTTGACCTGATGCTGAATGAGAGCTAGAGGTAGAATGGGATAAAGATGGAGAGGCTCAGAAGAGTGATTACTGCTCTTATTTAAGTGTACTTCTGAAAGAAGAGGCCACAAACTGGGCTGCCTGAAGACACCTTGAATTTGTCCTTCACGGCGTTTACAATTACTTTGAATTAGCTGCAGTATTCACTTTCCTGGTGCTGGGACAGAATACCCTACTCCTGCAATATGAAGGAGGAGAGGTTTACTTTGGCTTATGGTGCCAAGGGTTCAGTTCATGGTTGGTTGTCTCCAAGGCAGAAGCAGTATAGCAGATGGGTGTGGTGGAGGAACGCTGCTCATAACACGGAGACCAAAAAGGGTAGAGAGAGAGGGGAAGAACTGTATATAAGAACACAGCATTCCAATCCAGGCTTGGTAGTGTATTCCTGTAATCCTTGAACACTGGGAAG